GGGGGGGGGGGGCAGAGCGGCAAAGGCTATCTCCAGTCAGGGCCGAGCCGTAGGCAGGCCAGGGAGGAGAGGTCCCGAAGACCAGTGGGCCAGGGCGCCCACAGCTGCCCGCCTTGGCTGGCCCCAGGTCCTGTGGGTCCCCCCCCAGTGGCCTCTACAACCGCCCAGCACCCAGGCCAGGCCAGCTGACCGTCTGCCCCCCTTCAGGGCATTCACTCCAACCTGGGCATCTTGGCCCTGGAGAGCCCCCGAGGCCTGCGGACAGAGGTCACCTCCAAGATGTTCCAGAAGACCAAGACTGGGTCCTTTCACATCCGTCGTGGGGAAGTGGTATGCCTCTTGGGGGCCCCGGGGCGGGGGGCGGGCCCAGCGCCCCACGCAGGCCAGCACCTGAGCAGGCCAGCACCTGAGGGGCCTCTACCTCAGCAGCGGTGGGGGCGTGGCCTCTGGGGCTGGCGCACCTGGCTCGAACCTCTGCGTCAGCCACCTGCACAACCTGCCACCTGCACAACCTGGCGCCTGCATTTGCCTGTCCGTCTCCCCCTCTGCAGCGGGGATTCGGTCAGGGCTGCCGCAGGGGCGGGCCACGGGGGCACTGACCCGTGTCCGGTGTCCGGCTGACTGTGGGGTCCCCTGCAGGGCACATACCAGGTGCAGCTGCGGGCCGTGCAGGATGTGGACGGGACACACATCTGCCAGCTGCCGGGGGAGGACCAGAAGGGCACCGTCCACCTGAAGCCGTCCTTCTCCGACGGCCTCAAGATGGACGTGGGCATCATCTGTGATGTCTGCGCCTGTGAGCTGGTGCGGCCCCCTGGCCCCCGGGCCGGGAAGGGGGGCCCCGGGCCCTGAGTGAGCGGCACCTCCTAAGGCCACGTCTCCCTTCGGGGTCCCCTGACGGGCAGCGCAGCGGAGGGCCGGCGGCCCCGGCCCCTCTCCCCACACCCCGCATGCTCTCTTTCCAGCAAAAAGAGGTGCGGTCTGCTCGGTGCACCTTCAACGGGGACTTCGTGTGCGGACACTGTGTGTGCAATGAGGGCTGGTGAGTGTGGGGGCGAGCGTGGCTCCCCGCAAGGTCTGCGGGCACCACTGAGGGGGCAGGAGACCATCAAGGGGGCGGGGGGC